AACGGTAAGGAGCAGAAGGCGGAAGTAAGCTGGCAGAGAAAAATGAAAAGGAAAGAAGCCGATCGTACGATCCTTGGCTACCTGTAAACTCGACGATACCCGAGTATTTCAGTGCGAAAATCTTTCCCAGGGAAGCAGGTCCGACCAGTTTTCACCTCTTGACCGTGAGGCACGTAATATTACGTCACGTGCCGTGGATGCATCTCGCGGCGAAAGAGATTCCCTTGCTCTTTCGATGCCGAGAATGCCCGGCTATTTCGCAATTCGCTATCGATATAGGTGCACACACACGATTACGTATTACCGATGATATTTTATATTTTCTGTATGCATTTACGATTACCGTGCAACGCGTCCAACGGATTTCGCAAACGATACACCGCACCGGGTCGCAGCCGAACGTTAATCGTCGAAATGCAGTGCTTGTTTGATCGTCAAGCGATTCCAACGTTTATATTTAATGAAACAAAATCGAATTTGTCCTAAAGTAACGAACGCTCGTTCGTGTGATGAATGCTCTTTTGATTGCGCTCGATTCTGAGTTATGTTTCAAAAAAATCCACAGTTTTTATCTAATAATTCAATACACGTTTTAGCAATTGTTTTGTTATACAAGTCTCTGGTAGGCTAATCTGAATTTTAAGTATCTTGTTTTGTTAAGTAATAAATTTTGCAAACTTCTGTCTATGTAAATCTGTTTGAAAGGATAAGAAGAGTAATAGTGATTGATAGAGTCAATTAAATCTTGCATCACAAATGCATATGTAAACAGAGTGCAACGACTGACCGTCGATTATTCAATCCAAACACCATAGAATTATTTTACCATGGCGAACGATGAAATAATCGCTTCCCCGAATTCTGTAGCAACAACAAACCCAAGTGAATCAATGTTGCAGCGAAGCTGCTGCAACGTCTAATTAACTGCTCCACGGCAATTTTTCCAACACTATATTTATTCCCCAACATCTCGGTGATAACGATGTAACAGCGGAACTTTCACCATCTCACATAATGTTTTAGAGAGGACGATCGAGAGTGCACAATTTAAATCGGGTTCCTTTCGTGATGACTTAAAAAAAATTTTTTAATATATTTAAATTTGCAACGTTCACTCAGAATAATTATTAGAAATCTACTGGCGCTGGCAACGAAACGGTAAAAGGGTATTCTACCATGCAAGATTCGATTAAACCAAGCTAAGTATGTCACTGCAGATGAGCTTTTAGTTTGCATCGAATGAACAAAGTTTTGGAGGATTGACTCGACGCTCCGGCGTGAATAATACAGCAAGATTTTGTGTAGAAATTAGCGAGGCGAAAGAGTTCTATTCGAGTCAACACGTTTTACGAGCGACGAACGAAATTTCTTGACGCTGAATCTTCTGTGAATGGCGAGAACCGTTCTATGAGATGTAAATGCACTAGCGGTGGAATTCAATTCAAATTCACCTTCTTTATGACGGCTGAACAATACCTACGGATGTTGGATGTTCGTGAACAAATAACGAGTACCTGAATAGAAAATTTTGTACAACTTAGGAATCGAGTAAAAGAATTTAGGTCGAAAATAAGCTACACTATCAAAATTCAACAAAATCAACATCTCTAATCTCTGCTTCCTTTCAAACAGGTAAATCTTCCATTCTGTGCTAACCAGTCGGAATAAATTAAACCTCAAAATTCAGACAACAATTTCAAGAGGAATCTGTTCAGCCACCTTACGTCATGTTTCACCCAGAAATAAAACAAAAATCGAGTAGGTAAAAAACAAAGCATAAAACGTGAGATATTTCACCATCCAATGAAACTATAAATTCCATCCGTTAACATCGACGGGAATAAAAATAAGCAAGTATGACGGAAAGAGAAAGAAGAAAACGGTCTGAGATTCCGGATGGACCCTCGTGACGGTCCAGTGTGTATCTTTCCCGTACACCTTTGTTCACGGCTGGAACAGTGCAACTTTCACCGGTGAAGTGCAGCAAGATCGAGCTTGATAGGTCGATTCACTGCTACGAGATTGTACGAGGATCATTCAAATCCACGCGAACTCGAGCGCTCGCCAGCATCGAGAAGGGTCATCGTCGAGCAGGAAGAACAAAGAGCATCGATGATGTAACGCGGCGGTTTCCATCCGATCGAATGGCGATCGCTTTATCTTGTAAACGACAGTGGTTTCATTAGCAAAATTGAGAACGCGTGATAACTTATCGTATTTCACGATTCGAACGTCCACATTGTGGACGTCATAAATTCAATGCAATCAAACAATTCCATTGTGACATTCTACATGTTAACATTGTAAATATACTGGTAAATGTTTCTACCTATCGATTGCAGCAATTGGAGTCATTGTAGCAAGACTGATTGATTGATTGGTGTCAAACGCTTTGCCTTAGAGAATGAGTAATTGTCTTTACTCTACCAAGATTCTAGGTCCTAGAATTACCAACATCTTCAGGTAATTATTATCGCCATTGATGTTGGACAAAATAAAATTGTGTAATTATTAACTTTTGCGTTAATTGGCAAATGAAATTTTAGGAGTACGTCGAAAGGAATATTTTCAAGCAATTTTGTGGATCAGGTGATACGTAAGAAGTCGGTCGAGTCCAAGATGTGAACGGTGAAAGGCCAAGATGGCCCGTACCATCTCTCGAGTTACCTTTATTCCGTCGGAACGAAAGCGAAATTTTCGCACGAGAAGATCGTTCCGCGAGCTGTACCGTGGAGCTGTACCGCGAGCTGGCGCATTAGCGGAAACGAGTGATCGCGTGAGTCATCTCGAATCCATTATCGTCGATCCATTGTCTTCGAGACTTAAGCGTGATTTACTTGACGGACGATCGTGTCTGGTGCAACGAGAAACGAAGTAGCGACGGAAATTCGATATTCTCTTTCGCAAAATTTTCGAGCAAAGATTCTTGAAATTTAAAAAGATTTTTAAAAACACAGTAATATAAAAATAAACATTATTCCTTTTAAGAGCTTTGAAACAATTTCTAATTTCAAACGATATTCTAATCGATTACCATCCCATTAGTAGTCGCGAGACGAATGAGCCGATGGCTCGTTGAATCGCGCCTTTTAACCATCGACACCCCACCGTATCACGTGGAACGCTTATCAGCCGGATCGCCAATTGATAATCGTCGAGAATTGCGCGACGATAATGGACACCCTCGGTGAGAAAGGGATCAGATTGTTCCCCGATGAAAGTAGGCTGACGCGATAGCCATCATGCACGATTACGAAGCACGGCGAACCTGCTCAATTAGACGATGAAATTTAATTTTGCTATCGTAACAACTATGTCTGCTGTTGCATTCGTTAGCCGTCGGTTCTGTTGAAAGTTGAGTAACAATTCAAACGAGTTTCGTTAGAAATCGGACAAAATTGGATTATTAGCTTCGGAACGATTTGTTAACGAGCGATTTAATAGAAGATTTTGTCAATTTTCAAGCTCACAAATCTCACCTGAATCCCATGGTATCTATGCAGAATCATGTTGCATAAGACACCTAACGAATCCAATTATAAAATACCTGAAACATTTTCAGAAATCCCAGCGGGGGGGGGGGGCAAAAAACGCAGAAGAATAACAGAGATTCTGTTATCGAAACGACGAAAGAGTTCCTCTCTTACACGGTTACCCGGGGTTTCGTAGTCAAATCCGTCTGTTCCCGTGGTTGGCCCGTTTTCCACGCAATTGCATAAAATTCTGAAGACGTTTGGCCCGGTCACGAGGTTCCTTTCCATCCTCCTCCTCTAAACACTCTCTAAGCATCGAGATTATCTCTCTAACGAATCATCGCGGTTCCCCTATTTTCACGAACAATCGAGTGCGGCGGTCTGTTGGCGAAGATGACTCGCACGACCCTGTAACCCAGACAGCCGGTCCCCTTCGAAGATTCACGATCGTCCGGTCAGATTAAGCGGTGGCACGCGGATTGTTACATCGTCGCGAAGGAATGGCGACCAAAACGGGGAGGGAGTCGGAGGTGTACGCACACATACAGAGGATGGTAGGGGGATTTTTGTGGAGATGGTGGTGGTTATGAACCACGAACAGAAGACACATCGAGCGAAAAGGGGGAAAAAGAAGGGCGGGGATCTGCGAAGAAAGGCAGGTGCTATAAAAGAGGCGCCGGTCCGGACGATGGGCATCAAACACCTCAACATGAAGGTACGTGGTAAGAGCCGTGAGTGAACGGTGAATTCGTACGGTGTTCGATCATTCTCTCATTGTTTTTTTTTTTTTCCAACGATTCACCTGGATATTTTCGTTACAGGTGTTCGCGATTACGCTCCTCTTGGCGTTCGTAGCCACAGCCTACGGTGAGTAACCACCACTCGATCGTGATTTTCCGGAAGGTAGATCAGGGGTTAAGAGCCTGGACGCGTCGCGATAAAAGAGGAAAGAAACAGGAATCGAGAATTTGCAATCCGGTTCGACTGAAAAACGGTTGGAATGAAGTTCTTGCCGTTGCGATAAAAGAGATTAAGGCGCGGTGCGGAGAGCGATTTCATACCGGTAACGCTGCGCGATCAAACGAAATCGCAGCAGCTAGCTATTCGCGATTATCCTTAGTTAGTTTCGATCGTTAACCGGATCGTGAAACTATTTGACGTAAATTAGTCGCGGGGAATGCTCGAGAGTATCTGACACCACCGGTTTGGTGTTAACGAGCTAAGGAAAAATGGCAAGACGAGACGGGGCGAGAAAATTGAGCAATACTTTTGTTTCGTCTTACAGCCGGTTACATAAGTAGCGGCTGGTCAGGTGGCGGCGGTGGCTGGTCAGGTGGCGGAGGAGGTGGTTGGTCAGGTGGCGGAGGCGGCGGTGGCTGGAAATATGGAGGCGGCGGTGGTGGCGGTGGTGGAGGAGGCGGTGGAAAAATCATCAAGGTGATCACGGTGAGCGGGGGCGGTGGTGGATGGCCAAGTGGTGGAGGCGGCGGCGGAGGATGGAAGAGCGGATGGAGCGGCGGCGGCGGCGGTGGTGGTGGATGGCCCAGTGGCGGTGGTGGATGGAGCAGCGGCGGTGGTGGTGGTGGTAAGAACAGAATTTATTTCTCTTTTGTAATCCCGATTTTTCATACAGAGAACGTGGATCAAGGGTGTTTTAATCGTTCGAGTGCCACTGGTGATTGTATAAATACGTTCAAGTGTTATTTGTTCACTCGTGTACATTGTTGTTTACTACTCCGTGTGATTTGTTTACGACAGAAAGGAACCTCCTTCAGAATTATTAGTTTTGTTTAGAAATAATATTTCTTCTTGGCAGTTTTCATTTTAGGGGAGTGAAATTTTCATTGTTCCAGTATTCCTTTGAAAATTTCGCGAAAATGTATTGTTAACGAAGTTAACCATTAATTAAACGACGTATTTACCTCGACAGTATTTTCTACGTTGAAAATAAATTCACCGGTAAATTATGAGAGCTCCGTACAATGCGCATTCATTGTTGAATTTACTGGAAATCGAGGGCGCGAAGGGTTCGACGAAAATATTTTGTTTCGAAGACACGGCTTATTCAGCGAAATGTATTATAATATTAATAACCGATAATATATGTTAATAACTTTTTGACCTGAATATCCCCGGGAACGGTAAATTTCGCGAAATCAATTGGTCGCGATCGTCGAACCCGATATAGCTTGGCGAAAATAAACGAGCGTCTAAATTTACAGGGGGCGAATGACAATTAACTTTTATTCGCGTTTAAGAAGCGTGGAATAATGAGAATTCGAAATCGATCACGACTGAACAGTTCGCCTAATCGACGATAAACCCTCGAACCGCGATGTTGCGTTCCGTGATCGGGACGATCGCGATTAATTAACGAAAGGGTGGCGCGAAATAACGCGCAAATAACTTGCGAGAGGGAATAATTGGGACGAAACAACGTGACAAACAATCCTGGCTCGCGAACGCTGTGTTGTTTCCTGGCTGCTTTTGATTAAAGCGAACCGCGTCGCGTTACGAAACAATTAAAACACAACGATCCAGGGATTTCTAGGGGGACAAAAGGATACGTAAACAAAAGTCCCTGGGGGCATCGTCCGACAAAGAGACACAACGTCCCTCATTCCGATTAACGCACGAAAAATCCTTTTCCAGGCTGGTGGTAAAAGACACCGAACGATTCCTCGGATAATTAGAAGGGAATTTGCTCACCGATCACCAGTGCACATCTTGGCTGTAATTACCGATTGTCGGTTCACGAAGAGACCCTGACCCCCTGGTACCATCTTCGACAGAGATCATCCTCAAAGAATAGAACAGAACAGAAGTGAAGAACGTGACAGATAACATCGTCAACGAGGACCAATGGAAAGAAGAAACGGAAGAACAATGAAATCTACAACACCGATTTCCGAGATTCTTCTTCTTCTTTCGTCAAATCGACACGAAGCACCGGATGGGTCGTGGGTTACTCTTCGACGAAAGTATTTAGAAAATAATATCGTAGATTGTAATTTTTTCACACCGTGTATACGATAAATTCAATTTCACGTAACAACGCGAATAAAATGATAAAAAGTCTCCCCAAAAAAATGCAAATATTGTAAAAAGAGGAACGATCGCGTTGGGTAGGATATTTTTTGTACTACTTTTCGTATAAAGCATTTTCGAACAACGAGCAACAATTAAAACTCATTCACACACAAAACGTTGCCCGGTATTTTTGTTTCCATCCGTTTCACCCACCCCTGCTCCCGCACAGGAACAAAAGTAAACAACGTCCGAAAGCATCGACGATAACATTTGCACGTTCGATTTATGGATCCCATGGTCATCTTGCGCTGGGTGGAAAATTAAAATCGGGTAAACGGTTGCAAAACGGGCGTGGCTGGAGCGCGATATTGCAGAACGAATGGATTTACTATCGCCGCCGCTCTGGCAATAACATTCCAGCTTACGATATTGCAACCGCGTAAATATCATGGACGTGGAATGGTAAAAATGATCGACTCGAAAAGTTTCGCGAACGCAACGTGTATGCTGGCCCAACTTGACTTACGACCAACGAAAATCACGCTTGTTGAACAAATAAAAAGAACAAAAGCGATCCTTCAAAAATCATTTTTATTTTATTCATTTTTCCACTTAACTGAGTGCACATCCATTCTATTATTAATTAGCGAATGGCATAAATCTTCATTTAATTTCACGCACATTTTACTTTGAGAAGCATCCTTGTTTTCTTGTTCCTTGCTTTTCCACAAACGATAGGAGACAGAGTAGAAGAATTAAAATAAGATAAATGACCGGAAGGCTAATCTCAGGTAGGAAAGGAATTATTCGCAACTGTTTCTGTTGTTTACAAGAGTAACGAAAAGTTACAAATAAATGAGAAACAACACGTAAGCAAAACAAGAAAACTCATTTAAACGCTATTGAATTATTCTGCTCATGATTAAAATTCTACTGATATTAGCCTTTGTATTTTTTTTCCAATTTTTTTCTGGGACACTGAGCATTTTCCAACAACGCAGCTCCAGCTTTCATACGTGGACTTTTATTAATATTTACGAGATTTTTATTAATATTAACGCGTCGCGTAAAATCAACGCTGTTCATATACCTACGTTCTTTTGCCTCGGTGATACGCGAATTTATGCCAATATTTGTAGGAATAAAATCATCGTGCAAATTAATTATTTTTGAAACGAGAAGAAGCGTGGAAAGTTGTAAATAAGTTCTACCATAAATAACGTCTTAACTTGTAAAACTTCAAAGAGCGAGGTACTTAAAATTAGAATAGCTTCGAACTTCGAATAAGATTCTGATGCTGAAAGTTCGAGAATGGGATACGCCAAGATATTACTTCAACCTTTTTTTACTTTAGTATCTTGAAGAAATTTCGAACAGTGCTTTGGCTCATTGTCAGTGAAATATTCAGAAACCATCTTTTCGCTTAACACTCGTGAAACTAGGCATTGCGACGAATTACAAGATTGCTTCATCAAAAATATAAACGGTTAAACGCAAAATTATTCAGAATTTACGTCTGAAACAGCTTGTAATCAGCAGCTGGTGTACACGAGAGCAAAACAAACACACACGGTATTAAATAATCAGGAAAAGCAAACGGCGCAACAGCTCCAGCGATTTCATCCTTGCTTATAACATTCATTCGTTACACGCATTCAGAAACACCCTTTGCATACGGATGTCCGTCCGACTTCTTTAATTGGAAAAGTGCGTACTGTTTAATTATTTTCTTTACGAAAGCGTCGACGGAACGTTCTCCCTTGAATTCGCCCGACAAAGGGGACATTTAAAGCTTCGATTCTATAATATTAGAATCAATACTTTTATGAAACTTGACGAGCGGTTTATGACGGGAACAGCTGCGTGAACAAACAATTCACTTTCAAAACTGTGGCTCGAACTTTTCTTTAATTACCATCAACATCTTGTTTCGTTACTTTGCAACTTTGAAAATAAACTTTGAAGACTATTTATATTTCTGAAGAACAGAAAAATAATGAATGTTTGCATGTTCTAACAGCAGCTTCCTCGCGGTTAATGAGAAAATACAGTGGAAACAAGTATACGATACGTTCGTACAAGTTTGTTTGCGAACAACGTCCGAGAAACGGCATTAAAGATGCAACAGTCGCGAAAGTAATTTTCGTCCGAGGAGAAACCGGGACGCGTTTCTTTAATTGCTGTAATTCTTTCATAATGCCTCTCCTCTCCTTTTTCGACTTCCCTTCGAAGCGAGTTTTGTTACTTAATTATTAACGCGCCTATCAGATCATCAGATACATATATCCGGAGCGTACACACAAAAGAAGACGTGAGAATGAATTTCAACCTGACCCGTTAACCGTTTGAGAAATTTTAACGAGAGTCCACGAAAGACGCCCGGTTAGGTCAATATGCCATTAATTAATTAATTTACGTAATTGAGTTACGCGGCAATGGAGGCACTTACGCGGTTGCGCGCCCTAATAATTCTCGATGCTAGGGCGGTGAAGGGATAAAATTTCATCTGGTAAAAATAAAGCTGTAACAGTACCGGGAAACCTGCTTTTAATGGTCGAGAATTTTTTCTCTTTATTATGTTTTTTTTTTTTTATTTTTTTAAGAGAGAAAATCTTAATTATATGAAATTATAACGAGATTATTAAGACTTCATTCTTATTTATATCGTTTGTAAAAAATGAATTGTGATTTTAGAGATTCAAATGAAAATTTATACGTTCCCTGGATAATTTTCGGACGGTTAATTCGCGCGTGTGCTTTAATTGAAGTTTGCTAATTGGGTGTTGTTACATTAAGTAGACTATCCTCCTATAAATAATATTTAAATAATATTATCAGGTCTACCGAGCTATAATTATCGTAATGCGACGTTTGTAATGTAATATTCAAGATATTATCGTGAATCAATGTTTATTTATTTGTTCGTTAAACGAACGATACTCGCTCGAATAAACTGTACCGCGTAATCGTTACCGAAACCACGGTACGGAGTAAAAATGATAAAGTTAGAAATGGAGATCGGTAAATTCAGCGAAACGTAATAATTATCTACGTTAAACGTATTCCAGCGAAATGGAATTCGGTTAGAATTCCTGAAATACAAGTAATATCCCGGTATTCTAATTAATGCAAAATATATAGTTTCCAATAATTTCACTTCCCAGAATGAATCTATTTTTGGCTCAAATTCCTAGAATTTATATTACCATTACAAAATACACTTTAATTTACAAATCTGATACTGCAAACAAGGAACTCAATGAACAATGAACTTCTACATAGTATGGCTATTGTAACTGGTCTATTAATAACCCGTTAATTACTAGTTTTCCATTCATTACATGCACGGTGTAAACACAGATCACAAGTGTGATATTAGTGTAACGATTCTATCGTCTTCCGTCTTATCTTCTCCCGACAATTTACTTGATCACTATCATTAGAATAACCACGTGCATTCATCTCTAACGAACAACGCGACCAGAACAAAATCGATCTAGCCGAGGGATCGACATTCAATTTTACAAACACGCAATGGCAAAACTTTGAAATATACAAAGCCGAGGTAATAAATACGTATTTGCAGGAAACCGAAAATAGATAGGATAAAATATGAGAGGGAAAATATTACCCGAAATTTCGATCGCGTCGATATCCGATGATTAATGTTCCCAAACTATTTTTTTTTTTTCTGTATACGAAACTAGGTATAAATTTGATAGGAATACTATAAATCTTTCAGATTAAATTACCCGTGAAATCTCTTCCAATGAAATTAATGATAAGTTAATTACCTTGTAATTTATTCTACGATTATCGACGAGGTACTCGTTAAATGCAATTATCGATAAATAATAGCGATCAATGAATGATAAGAAATTTTGATCAAGGTCCCGTATCCACGTTCGTGTTGTTTTTAATGCAGCCAATTTGCAGAACTCGCCGGAACCCTCGAAGAAAGGCTCGAAAAGCATCCAACGCTAATTGGACCCTTCAGATATCTACTCTGAATAATCAGCAAGCGTCCGTCTTGGAATTATTCGCGCGAATTCCACCCAGACCCCGTTTCCTCGCCCTTCGATGATGCTTCTTTCGCATCTAACTCGCAATGATATTTTATTCTTCTTCGAAACTCGTTTCAACCGACCGCTTGTTTTCAACCCCCTACGCGCGAATCATTCGAATTCACCCGAATCGATAGGTTGCTGATAGAAAAATTAAAGTCACGTTGATTGTATCGCTTTCTAGAGCGATCAATTAGCTACAACTTTTTGCTCCTCGATACCATATTTAAAAATACATGGAGTAATTATCGATCGACTACCTCGTACCTATCGAATCGATAAATGAATGAATCGCTGCTAAAGTTCTTCCTGCTGAAAGAGGCAATTTCTTCGACGGACGAGAAAGTTTTCTTTCGTCTTGTTCCCCGTTTATGGTATTTCAGCCGGTTTATCGTTCACGGTAAAGGTAATATTTAGAAACTGCGCTATGCGGATCCACCAGAGACGAAGCTATAAATTATTCCGGTTATACGTTTCGCATAAATATTCCGTTTATACTTGACAGGACACGCTTCTGAGAGATCGCGTATAAAATGATGTAATTAAAGGAATTCGTAATTAAAATTTCGACGCCCTCGACCCTCAAATATTTGCTTCGAAAATGACGTTATTTATTCGTAATTAACAAGCATTGAGATCAGGTGAAATTCGTAGGCGAAGATAAACGCAAGTTGCCTCGGGCGTTGAGCAAATACGAAGAAAAGCAAGCTGGTGACAAGGTCTCTCAGGTTCGGTTGGTTTATCGAAAGACGCGGGACGTAACGACGCTCTCGCAACTCTGTTTCGATTAATGGCGTATTCGACGCGCGTTCAACCGCGGTTCCACCAATTAGATTTCGAGTGAAGGGTCTTCAACGTAGACGACCGGGCAGCATCAATTGTCGCATAAATTTATTGGACGCGTTGATGGCTTGGTAGCCGTGCAATCGACTGACACCAATTTACGAGACCGTCCGCTGGCCGGTTGACTGGTAAAACCGGAAACAGTTTCGTTTCACCGGCACAACGGTCCAACGTGTTTCCACTTATGCCTATTTTCATATTCAGCCTGACAAATCGATCACGCGCGAATCATGGAAATCAATAATCCCGATAGTAGACGTAAATTTTT